GGGGGGAGGGGGACGGTGCTGCAGCTGCCAGCCCTGCACCCTGCCCAGTTGAGGGGGGGGTGGGGGGGGCGCACGAGGCTGTGTCTTGGTCCCTATATTGCAGTATGCATGTGATGTGAATGCGGATCCTTGTTCCCAGGATGCGCCATCCTAAACTAAAAGCACAGTCCTGGAGATTACAAATAACAGAGTTAATACAGCTTGCTTTTCCCTTGCCATGAAACTAACTGGAACACTTGTCTTACTGCACTCCAATTAGGTTTTTCTTTTTGTTCAGTGGGGTTTTTTGGTTTGTTTTTAAGATTTAATGACTAAGTGAAATCTGACAGAAGGGACTGTGGCCGGACCATGGCATGTCTTCTGACCACAGACATCTAGCTGTCAATTGAAGATAAGTGATGAAGGCTGATGCCATGTTTCTCCCGACTGACATTTAGGAAAGAAAATGGCGTACTTGCAAAGAGAGCGGGTGAGCCTTTAAAATCAGTGAGACAAATGCAAATAAAGTGTGGGGGGGATTTTTTACATACAAGCATTGCAATTCCAAAATATTAAAGGGAAGTTTTATTTTAAATCCAAATACAGGATTTGCAAGTAGATGATGAATTGTGCATGGATTTGGAGTTTCAAGGGTTCCTGATGTTATTTGCCATATAAAATTTGTATGAAGGCCCAAGTACTCAAAGGGTTGATATTTTATATTTTTTTAAGAACCCTTATCTGTGAGTATCCTAGGGAGGCATTCAGAGGACATTTGTAATAGTTGATAATTTGGTTTAAGTTTGATATTAATAAATCTGGTTTTGAACTGAAGTGGCCAAATATCCCAATAAATGACAGAGCTGCTGATTAGGTAGTCCTGAAGAGAATCTCTTATAGTCCCGTGGATGATTAAGCACAGCTGGTATGTAGCAATAAATGAGTGCTTCTGTTGCTTTCTGTCCTACTGGTGATGGCAACCAGGAGCAGAGTAGAGCAGACCTCCTGTCATGCTCTCCTCCCCATAGCTCTGACAAGGACCCTCTTCTTATTTCCCTGTGTAGTGCTTTGCCCTGCAGAGGCAAGAGCATGCTTCAGGGCACAACACGGCCCTTTTGGCCATCAAACTACTAAACCAGGAGGAAAAAAAACCCACCCCAAAACCACATTTGATACAAAAAAAAAAAAAAAGATCGTATTGCAGCAGTGGGGTAAATTTCTCCCAGATCCCTTTGGAGTCTGAGATGGTGAGTGACACCAGCCCCGTATAGCGATGCTGCAGAAACAAGGTTGAGAAGCAGGTCTCCTGGCTTTGCCACCGGAAACCCTGCTAAAGAGGTTGTAAGTTGCCCTTTCCTATAGGTGTTGGGCAAAGCTGGCTGAAGCTGGCAACGAGTACCGCAGCCTTGCATGTGGTGACTTCTTGTTCTGATCTTTCATAGAAGCCTCATTGACTGGGAAATCTTGTACAGATCTCCTCTGAAGAGCCACTTTCGTTTCAGTTGCCTCAGAAGTCAGCATCTGCAGAGATACTGAAAGAATTATTCATAGTGCAGCCTTTTCCTGGCAAAAACATCTCCTAAGATAATTAGTGGTTGAAGTACAATATGAAAACTGGGCTAATCACCTGAAAGTGAATCAAGATGTTTTCTGAATAGTTTTTTTTTTATTTATTTCTAGACCTCTAAATATGATGTATTTGAAAAACAGATTCTTGAACAAAAGTCCTAGTTGCCCTTCCAGTTGCATCATTTAAAATGAACATGATATTTGAATAGGAACCAAGTGGATCAACTGAGAAATCCAGAAAAAAGGCATTAAATAGCATTGCCTATTTTGCTTCTTTGCAGCGGGGTTGGCAATAACAACGCTGACAGCGTAGTAAGTATTCTGAAAAAGGATATGGTGAAAGAAATGGATAGGGTGAGAGCAAAAAGAATACCTGAGCATGGGACTGCTTTGTAGTCTTGTCTCACTGAGTATTTGTTGCCCATAAAGCTATAAATATTTGATTGTGAGCTCCCTGGGCATTAAGTTTTTCTAGCGGCAGTGCTGTCACTCAGTTTGTCTGCTTTTCCTAACCTGCCCTCCAAAGCCCCTCCATGCTAATTCTACGTATACCTGAAAATATACAACCTGGAAGAGTTAGTTGAAAGCCTGCAGTGGTTCAGAACTTGCCAAACATCCTCTGCTTATTCTGAGCTTTCTTTACAAATACATTAAAAAGAATAATTTCCTGCAGACATTGTGGTAGGAGACAAAATATAACCACAATTTCAGATAGGTTTTTACTGAATCTCTTTTGTTGAGTAAAATATTTTAACCCAGAGTATTTAACTCTCTAGGAGTCTGTGCAACATCATCAAAACTAGTTTCTCAAGGATTTAGACATAAAATTTGATGGATATTTTCTAATAACTTACTTGTTTATTTAGATATTAATAGAGTAAAAATTCCTGTGCACATAGATACCCTGACAATTGATCAGTGCACATGATGCTGTCCACCCTGTGTAGCTGAATTAAAGACAAGTAGATTCAATCAGTAAATCAGGTCAAGTAAAACATCTTTTCACTGCCAAAGAAGATACCTTGCTCTACAGCACAGTTACAAAAGCATAGCTAAATTGTGAGAATTGCCTTGCTGATTTATTTTCCATTAAATTAATTTGTAGAGGAAAGTAAGTAATTTCTTCACTAGCTCAGGTTATTATTGGTTTCTATATTGAACACTTGCACACATGGAAAATATTATGGCAAAAGAATGGTCTTAGGGCTACAAAACTCAGCACTGAAAAAATACCCAATTAAGGTTATCCATGAAACTCCAGTTTGGCCTATTGCAAATGTGATTGCAAAACATTATGACACTGTCTTGTCTCATACTATATTGCCCACAGCATCTTTGCATCAGTGTATTAAATATCTCATTGCAACTTTCTTTTTCAATGCACTATTCCGTACCATAGTCACTGCCCACTACCCAGTTCTTGTTCTGAAGGCAGAAATAATGGTTTTCTTCAATTTTTCCTATAGCACTTAAGTATCTGAGTGCTTCACAAATACTACTTTCTTTTTTGGACAAGCAGTGAAGTAAGGGCATGCTTTATTCTCATCGAACAGAAAGAGCTGAGGTGCAGTCACCGAAATCCAAGGCAGTATTTCCGAGAGCCCCATTTGAGATATTTTCATTTGTCAGAA